TTTGAGTATTGAGAAATACTGAGGTTGATCTGGTTTCTCATGTCACTCAGGGCACAGTCATTCTTTTCCTCAGTGACTGTCCTGTTGAAGCACCTTGATTTATCATCTTCCTTCCATTTGCGTATTCATCCCTTCCTAAACTGAAAAATAAACTTTTTCTCATTTGTAGTCTGCTCAGTGCTTTTGATTCCCCTTGGCTCTTTTGCTGTAAAGAAAACTATTCTCCAAGATGAGCAGGAAGACACATCAAGCACGCCAGACCTTGCTTTCCTAATTGGCTTCTTTGCTTGCACATGTGTTCATAACCTTTTTCATGCCCTCCTATTGGTAAGCAGATCTCTAAAAGTAGGCTTTGATGCACTGATCTCTGACTGGCTTCTGGGTTGTTTCTTCTTTTCTACAAATCTGCTAGTCTACTAATACGCATCAGGTTGAGTAAAGGAATAGAGAAAACAAGAAAAAACAGAAAAACTTTTAGCTTTCGTTGTTTCAGTTGGGTTTTTAATGGATCTGTGTGAGCCATCCATGGTAGTTGGGTGTTTTAATATAAGCCCATAGAAACTAGGAGGTGTCAGCACCCCAGCCTTGGAGATACTGGAGAAACTTTTCTGCAGCTAGAAAAGGGCTGGAGGGATGCATAGGCAAAGACTGTTACAGACTGAATTAGAGATAACCACTTAGAGGGGGTACTTGGGGATAGATCTGGTAGGAGTTCTGATTGCATGTCAAGGGTCCCTGAAATGGCCCCACCCAAGGAACACCTGAGCTCTGGAGTCTAGCCTTTCGTATTCTGGGACCTTTGATATCTTTTTCTCTCTCAGAAACTTAAAAGCTATTCCTCATCATGCATAGTGCATTTATGAAGTAGTAATTAGCTTTCCCATGTTTTATTAATCCCATCTGTAACTGCCAATCAGAGCTTCTGATCAGCATGAGATAACTGCTGTGACCATACTGAGTTGCTGTAATTCTAGCCCAAAGCCAAGAAAGTTGATGTCTCTGTCAGTCTGTGCAGCCTTATCAGGGCAAATTCCTATTGAAATGCTGGGATAGCTTGAAGAACCTCATTACTACCTTTGCGGCCCTCAAGGGGCCTCACTTTTGGAAGCATTTCCATCCAGGAGATGATTCAGCTAGGTAGAGGTCTGTGGGGAGGGAAGGGAAATAACAGGCCATGACTGTGTACTCGTTAGCTTTGTTCAAGGAGCCTGAGCATAGCATTTCTGATCCCAGACATGGCTTTCTTACCTACAAGTTCTCAATTAATATATCATTATAATTCTTGTATTATCTGGAATACTTGTTTTCATTGAGTTTTCTCCCTTCTTTTTAATTCTTAGCTCGGTGTAAAAATTGCCAAAGCATTTGCCTGCCACAAATTCGTACAAGCCAAAAAGGAGATTGAAAACTCACAAGCCGCTCGAAAAAAGAAGAAACTTGCATGGGGGTAAGTTTCAGGAGTTTTTGTAGTAATTCTACTAACTTCATAGGAATTTGACATCCTGTTAATACATTTTTGAATCCAATTGGTTGGTAACTTTTATTTTACTTTGTATCTTCGTTGATAAGATTATAAATATGGAGCCATTTTTTCATCCTGTTGTTTATTTTGTAAGCAATGGAGTGTGTGGAATTGTTTTGCTTTGGTCACATAATCAACAGGTTCTTTAAGGGTATGGGCATGGTGGCACAATGCTTGTTAGCTCAGCACTTGGGAGGCTGATGCAGGAGAGCATCTGGAGGTTCAAGCCAATCTGGGCTACAAAGTAGCCTGATATGCATAGTAGCTGCAGTCTGTTCTGCATAGTGAGACCCTGCCTCAAATAGATTACAACAAAACAGACCAAAAAACCCCTGCACTTCAGCAAAGTTTTAATTCATTATGTTTGTGGGATAAATATTCTCCTTATGTGAAAGATGATAGCAGTTTTAGAAATAAATTGAGATTTTTATATTCTTCATTTCAGGTTTGAAGCAAAGAAGAGATGGGAAACCAAAAGCAACATGGGATATATGTAACTGGGCAGAGGTCTTCAAGACACATGTAGACTTGTGTGCTTAATTTACAAAGGTTTTCCTGCTTAAATATTTTAGCAGATCAATAGAAGTAGAGAAAAGTAAGCATAAATCTTAGGAATTATCTGTTTTCAGTTTTTTCTAAAAAGTTCATTCTGTTGAATGGAATGAAGTACTTTGTTATTTATGTAATATATTTGAAGATACATACAAGAAAAGAAGATAGAATTTTATTTATGTGTATAGACCTATAGTATAAAATCAGTTTTGCTTCTTATGTGTTTGTATAGCATAATCATGGTCCTTGTATTTTCTTATCTGTTCTTGGCATAACTGTACTTCTTCTGAAATTATGTTTTTAAGATTGGCTTTTGTTTAAAATGAATTTTAATCATAAGTGCAAAAAAGTCTCATTTGATGCTTGTTTCCAAATGACTATAATTATCTTAGTGTTATAAAAATAATTATTGATTCTTTACTGGAAGCAATGGTATTGTTATTTCATAGTCCCATATAAAAGCAATTGATGAATTTTTGTGTACCTTCAGATGAAATGATTACAGGGAAAAAGGGTCAAAATATAGTAGTTAGGGGATGATTTAAATTCAGCCCTGTTTAAAACATCTTCCTGTATCTCTCAGCAATATCAGTCTTTAAGTTATGCGATAGCTCTTAGAAGAAAAAGTGCTATGAAATGTTAAACAGTCAGTTATAACCTAAGGTAACTCAGTTATCTCAGAGCTGGTTTGTTTTACTACTATTCTGAATTACTCCTTAAAAAATAGAATGAAATGTCAATAAAGATAAAAAGATTGAGTGAATTAATGCTCATAAAGACAGTCATGGTACCTCAGGAGGGAGTTTCATTAGATACATGTTTCACAGTGCTGATGGGAAGTTGCTTTGAGAAATCACGTGACAAGCTGCTAAGTAGGCTCACAGTTGGATAGTATGAGAAATGAGTCATGGTTCTAACTTGTTATTTTTAGACTTAAAATATTACTTAAATAACTTAGAATGTTATTTTTAGACTTAAAATAATTTTATTTATGGCAGTATTTAAATTTTTCAATGTTCTAGAATAAGTGAATAATTAGTTGTTATTTAAAAGTCCAGAAGTCATATCTTGCTTCCATTTTAGTTGAGAAAACCCAGAGTAGAGAAAGCAAGTATAGGAGACTGTGTAACTCCTAATTTATCATGCAAAGCTACCCAGACCAAATATTGGAAGATTGTGTATTTTATGACTTAAACTTCATTGTGCCATTTTGTAGACATTATCTTGTACTGTCTGTCTACTACTACATCCAACTTCAGACTCCTGCTGGGTTACGACACACTCACTATATAGCACCTCTCCTGTATGAATCCACCGTGGGGATGTATCCACTGTACAGCCCACTGGCTTTGTTTAAGTATGGAAAGTGTTATGTTTGAGCAGATGGCTATGGTATACGTGTTCTCATGCAGAAGCATTTCCTTTCCTTGGGCCTCTCTCACATTTTTCTTTTTTCCTGTGTGCTTGTCCTGAAGGCATTTAGTGACCCCTGTAAGCATGCTTCACTTCACCTGCGAGGCCTTGCCAGTGTGGCCTGTAGTAATGTGTGTCAGATTAGGGGTCCTCTGACCCACTTCCAGCCACAGGCGTCCTTCACTTTTCTCGGTGCCAGCAGTTACCTGCAGTGCCCCACTCAGGGACCTGTGGCCATGGGGCCATTTTATCTGAATGGAAGGCAATATGGGGGGCAGATACAGTCAAGGATTCACTCGGTGGGGGAGCTACACTTAGGAGTTCTTATCTTTTTGTAGAAGCATGGCTTGTGTGCAAAGCTTCAAAGCATATTAGTAGAGCCAAAGAGTAGGTGGGAGAGAGGATTTGGAGGTGAGTGAGGAAGTGGGTACCTTGGGCTAAGCCTGCTAGCGCCTTATTTGGGACCAGCTTTACTTGATCAACTTGAATACAAATAGATGTTTTCCCACTGCAGCAGTAAAATGAGAGCTTTATTCCTAGAGTACCCTTGTTGCCCCAGGAGTGTAGTCATTTGACTCCTCCATTCTTGTCACATCGAAATAAGGATTCCTTTTGGATCAGTAATAACTTCAGTTCCTGAAGCTCTGATACATGCATTTACCACCAGAATACTTGAGTTAGATTAGTGGTGTAAATGTCAGTTATTGTAAAGATTAATACGTTTTAGGCCATCGGTATGGCATTAATGTAACTGTGATTTATTGTTTAAGTACTTTAGGCTAAAAGAGCTTACCAAAGAACTGTAATTTTGAGCTTCAGAGCATTGGTTCTGAGAAGCAAAGTTGGTAGTGCATTCTTGTTTAGGAGCCTCGAGATGTTTCTGCTTTTCAGCAGCGCAGTCAGTCTATTTCTTTCACCAACAGGAGCGTTTGAATGTCTAATCTCAGGCTTGCTATAATTAGTCCTGATGACAGAGGTAAATACCTCAGCCAAGACTGTAAATCAGGAGTTAAACAGGCTTCTGCAGCTGATCATAAATCCTAAACTCCATATTTTAAACACTAATTTTTAGAGACAGATAAGGGAAGGACAGGCCAAAAGCAAAACCAAAATGTTATCAAACATTAGATTTATACTTAAAATCTCACATTTAAAATCTTTTTTCCTAAAATACTATCTTTTAAATATTCTAATCAGTTTCTTAACAATTGACCAAGTATGAATCTAATTTCTAAAGTATATAACTTGAGAAATGTCTTAAATTCTCATTTGTTAGGTGAAGATTAATATTACTTTTTTAGAAATAATGTCTTACTATAAATATTGTGTGAGACCGATGTTTAAGATGCCAATTACATTATTTTTTAAAAAGAAAAGTGTGGGGAGACAAACCGATATTCTGGGGGATTGACTTAGGAAAACCTAGTCATCAAATTCAGAACCAACTGAGATATTTCAAGTTTTTCAGTGCTGGCAGAAGTTGCTTTTTTTTTTTTTTAGTATCTGGCAGGGTTACAAATGCTTTGCATGTCAATTTAATATATTTTCAAGCCAGCTGTTTATTCATTGGCTTAAAATTTACACTCTACTAAAATCTTAGCTCTGACTTTCATGAAACAAATAGTAATATTTGGACAAAATATATACATGCAAATCTTTTTCCAGAACCAAGTGTAGATTGACATTTGAGGCAGCAGTGCCTGGTAACCTGGTAACAGACCTGGAAGTGCTCTGCAGAGTCACAGGTCTTGGAAAGGTTGCTTCAGTTATTATTTTTTAAATGATACTGGGGCTTGAACCCAGGGTCACTTGCATGCTAGTTAAGTGCTATACACTGAGTACATTCCTGATACTTTATTTTTTAACTTCATTTTAAGACAGTCTAAGTGGTCTAGGCTGTCCTAAGCTCCTCCTGTCGTGTTTTCCTAGTAGTTGGAATTACAGGTTGATACCACCATTCCTGACTTCAGGTACTTTAATTGTGAAGTAAGCAGAACCTCTTTCTAGGTTTCAAACTTGAATTAGTGGGAGTAGAAAGACATTTTATTACTGAGACAGTGAGACCCATCTTCCATTTCTGAGGCTGAAGGACTCTGTACATTTTGATAACATGAGAGAACTGCATTACTAGTTGTCGTTATTTTATTTTCCTACCACGTTACTCAGCTTGAAAGGAAAAACTTCTTTCTCAAATGTTGCAGCCTGCTGTCAGCACTGACTAGACTGGGGAAAAGCTTCTTGACCAGGAAAGAAGAAAGAATTAAGACATCATGCGGTGGGTGTAGGTGACCATGAAGAAACTCCCACAGCCGCTATCCCTCTCTGCTGGTATTGCAGGGGAGGCGGTGCACACTTGATGAAGAGGGCCTGAAGTACAGCGCTGCCATCCGAGCCCCTTACTGCCAGTCTGGCTTTGGGGACTTGGATCCTTGAAACACAGCTATAGGCTTTGATGAGGCAGTTTATGAAATGCCATGCTGTATACTATGTTTTTAGATCTTGTAAACTCAAGATGTAGCTGAGGCATGATACGTAGTTATATTTTTATTAGTATTAGTAATCTCTTTAAGAAAAAGCATAAAATTTTCCAAGTGAAAGGGCTTTTATGTTTGTCTCTTTTTTGGCTAGAGTCTTTCTAGGTAGCCCAGACTGGCCTCCAACTCGGTATCTTCTGGCTTCAGCCTCCCAAGTGTTTATATTATAGGCAGGTGCCACTGCACCTGGTCACCACTCTTTGCTAAAGTGGTTTTTTTAAGAAAGTTATGTTTAGAAATGTATATTCCTTTTATGTCCAGATCAGATCCTTCAAGAATAAGAAAATACCCCAGAATGAAAGAGGAAAGAAAGGCAGTATCTTTAGAGAAGTTTCGGCCACTTAGTGCCCCCAGGCCAGGTTTCCCCCATCCCTGCTGGCACCAGTCTTCCAGCTGCAGCCCAGACCTATGGGCTGCCTTCCTGAATCGCCGCAGGGTCCTGCTACGTGGCAGGTAAGGAATGAGGTCGTCTTCCCACCTCTTATTTCTGAAGGGTGTGTCTGTCCAGTTACCACTTGTTCATTGAACCTAGAGTTTTAGGAACCAACAACTACAGTGCAAGCTGTAATTATTGATGTCTATTTCATACTCTTCTGTAAGTCCTGGCGTTAGATCAAGAAGTTAATGTATCACTTCATCTTCAGGCTGAATGTGTCTCAGCTATCAAAGTTTTATTGTTTAATGAATAGCATACAATTATGACTGCTGAGAAAAAAATTTTATTTGTAAGGTGAATGATACTAGAAGAAGTAATTGTGGATGTCACAAGGAAGAATGAAACAATGAAGCTTTGACTTTCTTTGAATTCCTCCCTATATACCGTCTGGAAATGGTTTACTGAACTAACTGGCATACAAAGATGAGTAAGCATATTTCATGGGAAACACATGTAAGCCACGTGTAAGCACTTCATTTTTATAGGGTTATTAAAAAATTAGTGACATTCTTTTGCTGAACACACAAACTAATCTAAGTTGGATATGTGCAGACCCTTGAATTTCTAACTGGGCAGTCTGCCGCTGCTGGCCAGCTTAGTGACTGGTCCTGCCTCTGCCCATTTCCTGTGCTAGCCACAGGGCTCGCTGGCATGGTGTGACTCAGAAGTGAATCTAACTGTGTTCTGTGCATGACTTAGCAATTTGTAAAGCTTTCCTTAACACTGAGTCAGTGTGTCCTTCGTATCAGAAAGGCTGGCAGCACTTTGCCCACCCTCCTTGGGGAATACCGGCTACTGCTGTAAATGTGTCCCCTAACACAGTGACTGATGCATGGCAGACATTTACCCACAGGACAGAGGATAACCCAAATGGGCCTCTGCGCCATCAGTCACTCAGAGACTCAGGCCAGTTGCCTGCTGTATTCTGCTGGTATCCCTGGGCGTTGCCACACGTCGGGTGGAAGGGAAAAGAGCAGTTGTGGAAGTCACGGCCCTGGCCAGGAGTGGCACACTCCTCACTTTGCACTGTTGAGGATTTCATT